GGGATCAAACTCAGGCCCTTGGCGCTTGTGAGGCAGGTGCTGGAACCACTGAGCTAAATCCCCAGCCCTTCAGCTCTTTTTTTTTTTAATTAAAAAAATTTTTTTGTTGTCCCAACAAATGTAATGCAAACCCATGTATAATTTTAAATTTCAAGTCATATTATATTAAAAAGAAATTATGAAATTAGTGTTATATATTATTTAACTTACCATATCTGAAGTATTATTTTAGCATTTATAAAAGTTACAATACTTCGTGTATTCTATACTATGTTTCAAAATCCTTAAAATCCGATATGTATACACATTTAGAGCAGTCTCTGTTCAGACTGGCCACATTTCAAGTGCTCAGTAATCACATGTGGCTAGTGGTTGCTGTCTTAGCACAGTTCTTGCCCATTTGCCCAGATTTTGCAGAAAAGAAATGCTTGAGTTAGGTTCCTTTTGCCAAAGACAAAATGCCAACACTCTTTCTCAATAATAAATGATAATAGCTATATCTTTTGAATGCCAAACAGTATGCTAAAAAAAAAAAATGTCAATTTATGCCAGTCATGGTGGCACATGCCTGTAATCCTAGCAATCTGGGAGGCTGAGGCAGGAAGATCACAAATTCAGTCCAGCCTAGGCAGTTTAGCAGTTTAGACCCTGATTTAAAATTAAAAATGAAAAGGAAGCCGGGCGTGGTGGCACACGCCTGTAATCCCAGCACTCAGGAGGCTGAGGTAGGAGGATTGCTGTGAATTCAAGATCAGCCTGGGCTACATAGTGAGTCCCAGATCAGTCTCAACTACATAGTGAGACCCTGTCTCAAAAAAATCAAAAAAGAAAAAAAAAAAAAGAAAAGAAGCTGGGGATACAGTTCAGTGAGAAGGCCTTAGATTTAGTCCCCAATCCTGAAAAAATTAAAACATCTCAATTTAATCTTTTTGTTGTTGTTGTTTTGCGGTACCAGGAATTGAACTCAGGACCTCGAGCTTGCAAGGCAGGTGGAAGCACCACTGAGCTAAATCCCCAAGCCCTCCATTTAATTTTTTTTTTTTTTTTTTTTTGAGACAGGGTCTCTCTATAGTTGAGACTGACCTGGAGCTCACTATGTAAACCAGGTTGGTTTTGAACTCACAGCAATCCTCCTGCCTCAGCCTCCTGAGTGCTGGGATTACAGATGTATGCCACCACGCCCAGCTCAATTTAATCTTGTAGTTGAAACATTCTTGAGGCAAAGGAAGGTCAAGGAACAGGTCTCAACACAAAGCCAGAGCCAGGACTTGAAACTCAGCTCTGACTTCAGTGCCTGTGCTCATGGATGATGATTTCAGTGTCCATATCTTATGTCTAACAAGTATTTGCAGTACCAGTGCTGCAGTGCTCTGTGGGTGACATTATTGTTAATCTCAGCGCAGAGATGTCTTGCTTACTTTTTGTTTCTGAGACAAAATACCCAACACCCACAAATTAAAGAAGGAAAGCTTATTTTACCTCACAGTTTATGAGGTTTAAGTCTGTATTCAGCTGGTTCCAAGGCAGGGCAATGTGGCAGAAGAGAAACAGTCTATGGTAGGGCAGGCAGCAAAGCAGTGAGCCTCCCTTTTCCTTTTATCCCATCCAGGCTACAAGCCTATCGGTTGGTAACAACCATACCGTGGGTGGGCTTTCTCATTATCCATATCCAGAACTGTACTAAAGCAATCAGTGGATTTTTTTTTTTTTTGTAGTTATCACACACCCTTAATCCATATTCACACACTGTAGATCCAGCCACCTCCAAAAAGCTCTTATCTTTGAGCACATGAGGCTTTCGGGGGAGATATATAGATACAAGCCATAATAAGAGGCCAGTGATTAGGTGTTTTTTTGATTTGTGACAAGATATCACTAGGTAATTCAGGCTGATGTTGAACTCACTATGTAGTTCTCCTGCCTCAGCCTTCTGAGTGCTAGGATGATAGGCATGCACCATCATGCCCTGTTGTATTTTATTTTTGTTTTTTGTTTTTTTCCTGTGGTACTGGGAATTGAATTTGTTTTGTTTTTGAGACAGGGTCTCACAAAGTTGCCTAGGCTGGGCCTGAGCTTGTAATCCTCCTGCTTCAGTCTCAGAGTGCTGGAATTACAAGTGTGCACCACCACACCTGGGTCAGAGTTGTTTGCAAAGCTGGAATCTGAGCTGAAACTTTTCTGCCTTTCTGCACTCACAACCATTTCTCTGTCTTCTTTCTGCCTTTTGTGACTGTGTACCTGAGTTGATTTCCTTGTTTTTCCTGACTTTTGTTCCAGGTGCTAGTGGAACAGGAAAGCCAGAGATGGACCTTGTGAGACTTGCCCGGCTCTTCTCCAGCCCCTGCCCCATGGGACTGTCCATCCTCCAACACCTCAACCCTCTTGGAGCCCGATGGGGAGCAGGCAGGGTGCAACTTGCTATGTGGCAGACCTGGCCGGTGTCAGCCTGTTATAGTTTTTCTTGTCAGCTTCCGCCAGGCCAGGGGAGCCATAAGAATGTGAGGAGCCTGCCTTCTGACCCAAGCCAGGCCAGCCCTGTGGCCCCTCAGGAGGAAGAGGAGGAAGAAGGCTTTGGCATGCTCTCCGACAAGTACTCTTCCCGGAGGTTATTCCACAAATCAACAGCCCAGTTTTATAACCTGCGACTCAGGGAACAGAGTGTTGAGAAAGAGGAACTGGAGCCAAAACTGTGGCGGGGCCGGAGGAACACCCCGTACTGGTACTTCTTTCAGTGTAAACGCCTGATCAAGGAAGGAAAGGTGAGGGAATCTTGGGATTCTTCTTTCTGGTGGGCAGGTATTTTGTGTATTTGGAAAGCAACCCAGCCTTCCCAGGTGCTAATTGTTGGTGTGCTCAGCACTCGGCCCATGAGCTTTATCTATCTTCACTCACCCTGGTGATCCATCACCTTGTGGCATTGAGTATCCCCTGGCCACTGCAGTTCTGCTCATATCTCCAGTCCTGGCCTTTATGTGGATGTCTGATCTGTACATCCAGCTGCCTACATCTCCCTTATTCTTTGTTTTTGTTTTTTTTTCCTAGTACGGGGGATCAAACTCAGGACCCTGCACCTGCCTTGTGAGGCAGGCATAGCACCACTGAGCTAAATCCCTGGCCCACATCTCCCTTATTTTTATCCACATACCTACCTGTGCAAATACAAGCCTGAAGTTTTTGTCCCCCACCTTGTGTTCCCCACAGTTCACTTGATTGAATTCAAGGCCTTTGCACTGAGCTATACTCCCAGCCCTTTTTTATATTTTATTTTTAGGCAGAGCTTCACTGAGTTGCCCAGGATGGGCTCAAACTTGTAATCCTTCTGCCTCAGCCCTGTAGAGTTCTGGAATTACAGGCATCCACCAGCGTGTTTGGCTTTCCCCATATTCTTTATCTCACTAAATTGACAATACCATTATTCCGCTTCACCCAGGCCACATTTCCTTAGGTCATGCTTCTTTCTTCTCTTTCTCTTACCAACTCTACCTCCACACTGTTCCACCACTATTTCTCAGAGCCAAACCCTTGAATGCCCAGGAATAGCCTTCTCAACCTCCTCAGCTATTGAGACACTGTCCCTGGCCACCTGCTGCTTGTATCATCTCATGTATCATCTTGTGTGTCGCTGACTGCTCTCAACACAGAGCTGTCCTGTTGAACAGAAAGCCATTCTCATTAATCATCTTCCCAGAACTCCCAGGGTATTCAGTGGTGTTAATGTTCATTTTTTGGCTGGGGACGTAGCTTAGTAGTAGAGCACTTGTACAGCATGCTTATGGCCTTAGGTTCAATCCTCAGCACTGAAAAGGAAAATTACCTGTCTCTGTGGGAGGTATGGTTTAATAATACGGTGCTTGCCTAGCTTGCTTGAAACCCTGGGATGATACCCACAACACAAAAAGAGTTGGGTGTGGTGGTGCACACCTGAAATCCCAGCTGTGTGAGAAGCTGAGGCAGGCAGATTGCAAGTTCAAGCCCAGTCTGGGCAACTTAGTGATCTAGCAAGACACTATTTCAAAATAAAATTTAAAAAATGAGCTGGGGATATAGCTCAGTGCAAAAGCCATGGGTTCAATTTCCAGTACAGCAAATAAAAAATAAATTTTAAAAGCTCAGTTTCTTGGGAATTTATAGTGGTATTACTGTATATTTATATTTGGAAATCTCTTCATGGTACGTACTGAAGATCATATGGATGAAATGGTAGGGTGTCTGGGATTTGCTTTTAAAATGCTATTTCGAGTTGGGTATGGTGGTGCATGCATGCAATCCTAGCACTTGGGAAGTAAGGCAGGAGGATTGCCACAAGTTATGCATTGGCTGCGTAATGAGTTCAAGGCCAGCTTGAACTACATAGCAAGACCCTGTCTCAACAAAACAAACAAAAAAATGCTGCTTGGACCTGGGCACAGTGGCACACATTGCTAATCCCAACTATTTGAAAGACTGAGGCAAGAAGATTGTAAGTCGGAGGCCAGCCTGGGCAACCTAGCAAGACCCTGTCTCAAAATTAAAAAAAAAAAAAAAAAAAAAAGTTAGAGATATAACTAACTTAAAGGTAGAGCACTTTCCTGCTATGTGTAAGGCCCTGGGTTCAACCCCTGTATTATAAAAACAAAAACAAGAAAAACACCAAAAAAGCCAGGCATGGTGGCACACACTTGTAATCCCACACTCTGGGAAAATGAGGCAAGAGAATCACAAGTTCAAGTACAGCCTGGGCAACTTAGTTACTTAGCAAAAGCCTGTCACAAGTCCCTTTCTTTATCCCTCAAAATAAAGGGATGAGGAAGCCTAATGTAGTGGCATATTCTGTAATCCCAGCACTTGGGAGGCTGACGCGGGAGGATTGCTGAGCTCAAGGCCAGCCTGACTACATAGCGAGACCCCATCTCTAAAAACAGAGGGTGGGCGATTTGGCTCAGTGGTTCTGCTGCTTGCCTTGAAAGCGCAAGGGCCGGAGTTCAATCCCTGGTACCAAAAAAGCATATGGAGATATAGTTTAGTGCAAAGGCCTGAGCATTACCACAGTAAATAATAACTAGGCAACCATGCTGTTTGGAAGGGGTTTTCAGTCTATAAGTGAAATAGGATTGGCCACACATTTGTAATCATTGTAGTTATATTCTGTCTGATTTTGTGTACATTTTGAAATTTCCATAATGAACAGTTAAGAAATAAAGAAAAGCCAAAGTCCTCACAATGGCTTATGAAGCTAACAAGATATACCACTCCATCCTCCACCCCTCCATTACCTCTCCACTCTCCTCTCCACCCCTCTCTTACCCTACAACAGTCACCCTAGCACTTCACTTATTCAGCTCCCACGCCTATTCCTGCCTCAGGGCCTTTGCACTGGCTGTTCCCTCAGCCATGTGCCTCCCTCCTCACCTTCAAGTCTTGGTTCACATGTCCCCTTCTAGATAGGGCCCTGCTTGGCTGTATTCCCCACATCCTTCACTTTCTGATTTATTTTTTTGTTTATAACACCTATCATGTTTGACACATTATGTATTTTCTTTTGTTTTTGTCTTTACTCCCTCCCAGCTGGCCGAGGCTCTGGACCTGTTTGACAGGCAGATGTTGAAAGAGGAGCGACTGCAGCCACTCGAGTGTAACTACACCGTGCTGATCGGGGGCTGTGGAAGAGTTGGCTACCTGAAGAAGGCCTTCCGGCTCTACAACGATGTGAATTGGAGGCTGGGGTGGACAGCAGGTCCCAGGGTTGTCATGGGCTTCAGGAGCAGGAAGAAGTGGGTCTAGATTAAGCATGGCCTTTGCTGATATGTTTCCTTGGGTGGGCGATTTCAGCTCCCTGGCACCAGATTCTTCAACTGTCAACTGGAGGTGATCCTGGGAGATGAGCTGAGATGAAGTGCAAGTCCTTTAGCACAGCCCACAGGGCCCCTTCTCTGCTGCCATGCCCAGTTGACTTAAGGTCTTTTTTACCTTCTACATGCACATGCGTGCACTCTGTTTCCAAGTGTATGCCTTTGAAAAGGGATTTTATTTCTTCAGGAAGATCACTTTACTTTCCTCTCATGTATCTCTTGAGTATATCATTGTTGTCACTGTCAGAACCAGGAAGCAGTTTCCTGCATGAGCCCACAAAAAGTCTCACCTCTGAGGACTGCGGACTCTTCCTGGAGAGAGCCAGAGTCTAGAGGTTCTTACTCCAGTGGGAGCTCCTAGGAACCCAAGCCTGATGATCTGTAGCAACAATCCAGGGAGAGAAGTTGCACTTACAAATAGAAAAGTAGCATCATGGCCTTTAAAAGACTGGTTGGTTGAAAAGCATTCAGGTGCCAAAGAGCAGACAGAGAAGGGGAGTGGTTGTGGTTCTTGGTCACCACCCTGAGGATCTTTTTGTTTTGTTTTGTTTTTGATTTTTGGTTTTTGAGACAGGGTCTCACTGTGTAGTTCAGACTGCTCTGGAATTCACTGTGTAGCCCAGGCCGGTCTCAAACTTGCAGTAATCCTTCTGCCTCAGCCTCCCAAGTGCTGGGATTTATAGTCGTGCGCCACCACACCCAGCAGCCCTGAGGATCTTTTTTTTTTTTTTTGGTACGGGGGATTGAACTGGTCCTGCCACCAAACCGCTGAGCTAAATCCCCAGACCTGCCTGAGGATCTTTAAGTGACTACCCTGTGTGTCACCTTCTCAGAGAAGCCCAGGCCGTGCTTTATCAGTACGGGGGAGAACTGGTCCTGCCACCAAACCGCTGAGCTAAATCCCCAGACCTGCCTGAGGATCTTTAAGTGACTACCCTGTGTGTCACCTTCTCAGAGAAGCCCAGGCCGTGCTTTATCACTTTGTTGACTTTTTTATTTATTTGTTTTGTGATACCAGATATTGAACTCAGGACCTTATGCTTGTGAGGCAGGTGTGGTATCACTGAACTAAATATCCTCAGCCCTGTTGCCTTTTTTTTTTTGATACCGGGATTGAACTCAGGTCCTTGTGCTTGCAAGGCAGGCTGTAGAACCACTGAGCTAAATCTCCAGCCCTCTGTTGCCTTTTTTTAATGACTTACTTTTTCTAATAAACATTTCACTTTGGAATAATTTTAGATTTATAGAAAAGTTGCAAAGACAGGATAGAAAATTCCAACTATATGGGCGTGATGATACATGCCTGTAGTCTCAGAACTCTGGGATGTTGAGACAGGAGGATTATAAGTTTGAGACCACCTTGGGCTATTTATCAAATTACTGAGACCCTGTCTCAAAATACAAAAGGGCTGGGGTTGTAGCTCAGTGTCAATGCCCTGGGTTCAAGCTCTGGTACCAAAAATGAAAGAGAGAGAAATACACCCCTTACCCAGTTTCTACCTTGTTAATATCTTACTCTGTGATAGTATATTTGTCAAAACAAGGCAGGCAACATTGGTGTGTGGCTGTTAACTAAGCCCCAGACAGACCTTGTTTGGATTTCACCAGTGTTACCACTGCCAGCCTCTATTTCTGTATCCAATCTGGGCACACATACTGGCTCTTACTCTGGCTTTTGCAATCTATGACATTTTCTGAGTCTCTTCTTTTCTCTGTGACCTTGATAGTTTCAAGGAGCACTGGTCAGGCATGGTATAAACTGCCTATCCATGTGTGTTAAGATGCTGCTGCTTCATGAAGAGACAGGAGTGTGGCTTTGGGAAAGGGACCTCAGAAAGGTGAAATGTTCTTCTTATGAATATGAAGTCAAATAACATCACTGATGATGTTCACCTTGGTCACTTGGTGAAAGTAGTTGGTAGGTCTGATTGTACTTTCTCTTTTGCCCTCTCTGTCCTGTTTTCCATTGTCCTCCACAGCCCTCATATCTCCTTGTGACTCTGCAGTGTGACTCCCTTCTTGTGTGGATGCTCAGTGAGAATGGACTGTGTCCGCCTTGCTCACTGGGGCTCTGAGGGCAAGTGGGAGTCCTTAGTCCATGTCTACTGAATACAAGCTACATGCGGCCTGTACATCTTCCTATAAGGACGACTCAGCCTCTGAACTTTTCTAATAAGGAACTTGAGGCCCAGAAAGACGAAGAGACATGACCAAGATAAGACCAAGTCCCTAGATGAGAGCGCTGGAGTGGGAGCTGGAGCTGAGATTTGATCCCTGAGCAGCCTGGTTCTAGAAAGCTCTTTGCAGTCCCTCCATGTCTTGTCACTGCCCTCAGTGATCAATGGCCTTTCTCTGGCCAATAGTGCTTGTCTTTCACTAGGACATTTCTAGACTCAAGTGCCAGCCCCAGCCGCCAGGAAGCTTGACAACTGTGTGTGTCTCAGGTCAGGGGCCGCCTAAGAACCCCAGACTCTACTCTCCTGCTGACCCCTGCACCTCCTACTCAGGATGATGACCTCATCCCCAGTTTCCTGAGAGCTCCTTTGTCCATGACTCCTCAGCTAGAGTAGATAGCTAGATCTTTCCCAGCCAGATCCACTCAGTGGCCCTTTCCCAGTCAGGGTGACCTCTTCTGGCCTAAGGGTGGAGACTCCAGACCTAGAGCAGGTCCAGAGAGAATGGTTTCTCTTTGGCACTTCCCAGGGTACAGGAGCAATTTTTAGGGTCCCTCTGGTGAAGAAAACCGATTAGATACTAGATTTTGATGTGGTCTGAGACTAGTTGAATGTGGTCATGAAGAGCTCTCTAGGGTGCTCTGGGGTGGCTGCTCATTTCTGTCTATCTGATCCTGGATCCACCTCTGTTTCTGCCATCTTAACAGATGAAGAAGCGAGACCTGGAGCCCTCCGATGCCACATACACTGCCCTGTTTAATGTCTGTGCCGAGTCTCCCTGGAAGGACTCAGCTCTGCAGAGTGCCCTGAAGCTCCGACAACAGCTCCAGGCCAAAAACTTCCAGCTCAATCTGAAAACATACCATGCCCTGCTGAAGGTGGCTGCCAGGTGTGCAGACCTAAGGATGTGCCTCAATGTATTCAAGGTGGGGACACTCCTCCTTCTGGCTCCCCCAAAGGGTCCCAGCCCCACATGACAGGGTAAGGTAGAAGCTGACTTCTCTCCCGCAGAAGGCTCAGGAAAGATAAGACAGCCACCCGGGCTGGGTTGTGGGGATTCTAGATTAATCCAACAGTACCCAGATCTCAGAGGCCTGAGTCTCACACCCAGTAGGCTGTGGGACAGAGGAGCAAGAGAGTGGCAAGGGTAAGGTGGACAGGTCCAGCAAGCATGCTGGGACAGTGAGAGTAGGTTCTGAGGGACTAAAGAAAAAAACCTGAGCTGGCTTGTGGGAGAGAAGGTGCATTAAGGCATTAATAGCCACTGGGCTTGGTGCACACCTATAATTGCAGCACTCTTGAGGCTGAAGCAGGAGGATCATCAAAAGTTTGAGGCTAGCCTGGGCTACATAGTGAGACTTTTTCTCAAAAACAGAAACAAAAAGGAAAAGTCTAAAACAACAGCAAAGAACAGAGTTAATTTGCGAATTAGTAGCAAGAAAGCATAAGGTCCAGTGGTTGTGAGCTGGACAAGAAAGTTGCCAGAAGGTACTCAGAATGTCCACTAGCAGCAGGCTGGAATAGTTAATCACCAGAATGTCCAGGGGCAGGGGGACAGACAGGAAATTGCCAGAAGATTCAGTGGTGGCAGGCTGGACAGGAAATTGCTAGAGGGAGCTCAAAGTGTCCAGTATTGGCCAGGTGAACTATAGTACCCCAGGGAGCTCTGTTCTGCACTCAGTTATTGCGGAGGGGGGAGTCTTAACAGAGTAAACTACATAGCAGTGACATAGGTAGCTTACTTTGTTTTATTGTGTGACCAGCATTCTAAGAACCATGACTTAGCACACAGTCAGGAAGGCATTTTCTACAGATAACACTAGTTTTCCTAGTTTCTAGTGTCCTTCAGATAATATTTATTTGGACAGTCCGGACCCTGTCAGCTTACAGTGGCCCCTTGACCTAGTAAGGGTCTTGGGAACACGAAGGGGCATTTCAAGAACAAGGTGCTAAATGCCCTTGTTTTTCTCAGGTGTGATATAGGCAGGGCTTCCCTGTACTGACCACAAGGACAGAGGAGGTAGAAGGAGTGTGGAGAGTAGGCCATAGCCAGCCCTGACATCTCGGGCCGGTGGAGACTAGAGCCACTGTGGGGCAGCACTATATAGTCATGGGGTTGATCCTAGGGTCCTGGGAAGCACATCCTTCCATAGATGAGAAAGCCAAGGCCTAGGACCTAAGCCTTCACGCCCACAGCAGGCCAGTGGGGGAGCTGGGACACAAAGCCCCCTCTGTGATTCCAGAACCTGGAGTCCAGGAGTTAAGCGCGTCCACTGGGCTGGTCTTTCCAGAGGAGCTGCCCAGATGTGCTGGGACCAGAGCTGGGGAGAAAGGTCTGGAGGCTGCAGGTGGAGCAGCCAGGTACATTGCTCAGGAGCTGGTTCTGACAGACCCCAGATGGATGGAGCTGGTCCTGGCCCACGTGCGTTAGATGCCATCTGGCCTAAGCCTGGGCCAATCTTGGGTTCTCAGTGGGACTGCCTTGTTCCCCTACCAGGAGATCGTCCAAAAGGGGCATATGCTCACAGAGGAGACCTTCAATTTCCTGCTCATGGGCTGCATCCAGGACAGAAAGACCGGCTTCCGACATGCTCTGCAGGTCTGTTCCTCCCACCCTGCCTTCTTGGCCTGCCTCGAGCATGAGCCTGTGCTAGGGGTGCTAGATGACGATCCTGGACGTATTTCCCGAGCACCTACTACTGCCCCATGCTAGGTGGTTTTATTTGTTTTGTTTTGTTTTTTGAGACAGGGTCTCGCTATATAATTCAGGCTGGCCTTGAACTCCTGGCAGTCTTCCTGCCTTAGCCTCCTGAGTATGAGGTTGTAGGTGTGCACTATGGTACCTGGCCTAGTGTTTTTATATTTGCCATCTTCAGGCCTTCTCAGCAGCCATTGCAGGGAACCTCTCCCCCTTTTTTATAGATGGTAGGCAGAGCAGTCTCTTGAGTGAGGCTCAGGTCTCTTGCTCTGCTGGGTGGGCAGGCCAGACTCTCTAACCCTGTGGTCCCTGGCAGTCTGGGGTCCGCCCCCCTTTTTTTTCAGGACTGAGGATTAAATCCAGGGCTTTTACACTAAGTGTATCCCCTGGCCTTTTTATTTTATTTTATTTTGAGACAGAGTCTTGCTAAGTTGCCAGGCTGAGTTTGAATTTGTGATCTTCCTGCCTCAGCCTCCCACAGTGCTATTATAGGCATGGACCACCATATCTGGCTTGTTAGCCTAATTTTGCAGGTGAAGGAACTAAGGCTCACAGAGATCTGAGGTCTTACAGCTCCTGAGACCCAGGGTTAAAGTGACATTCTTTTGATCTCTAATCCTGAATCTCTGCCACTATACTCTGCTGCTATGGGATACTGGGTATCCCTTACACTTCCTTTCTGTCAACCATTGCTTGAGGGGTGTGGCTGCCAAGACCCTGACCCTCAAGATCCTGCCCCATGGATGGTGGCCCCCTTGCAAGATTTGCTAGCAGGGGCCTGACTTGCTCCTCCCCACCCTTACACTCCTTTGATGAGGGCCAGATGTCAGATATGTATCCCAGCCCTAGGGATGGGTGCGTACTTCTGTGGATCCCACAGAGTGAGCCTATGTAGTGTGGTTAGGGGCACATCTATGATCCCAGCCCTCAGGAGGCTGCAGCAGGAGAATCTCTGTGAGCTCGAGGGCTAGCCTGGGCTGCATAGTGAGTTCAAGGCCAGCCTGAACTATGCAGCAAGACCCTGTCTGAAAAACCAAACCAAACCCAGAAATAGCATGGTCTCAGCCAGGCCTAGAAGCACATGCTTATGACACCAACAATCTGGGAGGCTGAAGTAAGAAGACTGAAAGTTTGTGCCCAGCCTGGGCAGTTAGTGACTTAGCAAGACCCTATCTCAAAAAAGGAGTGGGGATATAGCTCAGTGTGAAGGCCCTGGGTCCAATCCCCATTACCACAAAAACAGAGAAAAAAATGGCGTAGTCTGAGGTAGTATAGAGCTACCTAGGTGTGATTAGGGCTGTTTGTTGATCACACATTGAATGTACTAGATATGCTGTAGAGATAAGAATGATCTTGTCCCACAGGGAAATAGGCTCCTGGGGTCCAAGCTAGGAAGGGTGAGGGCTTCAGCTATAGCCTGCCTGACACTGGTGCTGTGCTCTGGCTCTGTGTCTGGCTCTGTCCTGACTTCTGCCCCGTCTCAAGGAGGTCTGGGACAGAGTGGGCAGTGGGCACTTGGGAGGTGCTCCTGAATCCCAGCCTCAGAGGTCAGCCTAGACTATTGTAGAACCTAGGCTCTCTGGCCATCCATCCCTTAGGGGAGTGCAGGAGAAGGTGCACAGGGACCCCAGGTAAATGAGCTCTGGGAGAGGGCAATGGGTTATAAGAACAATTTTGAGGAGGGGAGAGGAAAGTTGATGGTCCTATGAGGCCTCCTGAGGAGTTTCAGAGTTCCCTTAGTTCTTTTTCCAGACTTGAGTGTAGGGTTAGAAACATTCTTTTAGTTTGTTTGATTTCTTTTCTTTTCTTTTTCTTTTTTTTTTTGGTTTTTTTGAGACAGGGTCTCACTATGTATGTATGTAGTTGAGACTGACCTGGAATTCACTATGTAGCCGAGGTTATTTTCGAACTCACAGCGATCCTCCTGCCTCAATCCCTGAGTGCTGGGATTACAGTTGTGTGCCCCCATGTTCGGCTCTCTGTTTGATTTCTTTGAGATGAAGTCTTAGCTATTGTACGCAGGCTGACCTTGAACTAACTCTTGGTCTTCAGTGATCCTCCTGCCTCAGCCTCCTGAGTGCTGAGACTACAGTGTGCACCACCATACCATACTTTTTGTTGTTGTTGTTGTTGCTATAGCTGGGAATCAAACCCAAGGCCCTAATGCCTAATAGGCAAGAGTTCTACCACTCATCACACCCCAGCAGTAATTTAAGAAGTTGTGTGTGTGTGTGTGTGTGTGTGTGTGTAAGGGAGGATGCTGGGGATGCATCCAGGGCCCTGCCCCTGAGCTACATCCCTAGCCATCTTGTGCCTTTTGAGTTTGTGCTCTGACTGCCAGCTCAAAGTGCCCACCCCCACCAAAGGCTATTACCCTGCAGGAGCACTGAGCTGATGTTTGTCTCTCCCTGAGCAGGTGTGGAGGCAGATGCTGTATCTGGGGCTCAAGCCAAACCGACATAGCTATAATCTGCTGTTGACGGCAGCTCGAGACTGTGGCCTGGGGGACCCAGAGGTAGCCTCCAGGTTGCTCTTGAGGCCCAGTGAGGAGATGGTCCTGATCCAGCCCCGAGCAGGCAGTCAGGAGGCAAGGAGGAGAGGCCGACCTGGGGTAGGTGGTGGCATGCCAGCCAGACTGCACGTGGAGGCCCTGGAGAGGCAGCTCTTCGAGGAACTTTCACCAGCTCTGGAGGCTCCTCCAGAGCCTTCGGAAGCCACAGTGCCTAACAAGGCCCAGCCTGAAGAGGATACCAAGGCAGAGCCCAGCCACACTTCAGCCCTTGCCCTAGGGGCCCTAAAGCCACCTTCCTTGGACCCAGAGGTCAACCTCTTGGCCCTTGGGGCTATCTCCCTAGATGTGATCTCACTTGGGACAGTGACCACCTCTGCCGACAGGCTGGTCTTGATGGGGGGCCTGGATGGCTTCCTAGGCAAGATGGCAGAGCATGGGCTGCAGCCCGACATCAAGACCCTCACACTGCTGGCTGAGGTGGTGGAGCCTGGCAGCCCTGCAGAGTCCTCACTGCTGAGCATCCTGGACAGGCACCAGGTGGAGGCTGATGTGACGTTCTTCAACACCCTGATGAGGAAGAAGAGCAAGCTGGGGGACTTGGAGGGGGCAAAGGTAAAGGCTGAGGCTGGGACCTCTCCCCCTTACCTCTCTGACCTTTGCACCTGGAACGTGGCTCCTGTTGGCAGACACCTCTGGAGCCATGAAGCAGCCATACATGGCCCTTCCCTCCTGGTGGAGCTTAGGGACTGGTGCGGGGGAGGTGGGTAGGTGCTGTGGAACCGCCATGGCTGTGCTCGGCCAGGTGTGAGAATTCACTAGAGCAGCAGGCCCTGAGAGCTGCAGGGGTACCACTGAGTGTCCCTGCCTTCACGCACCAGGCCCTAACACTGTTTCTTCTGTGTTAGGTGCTCTTCACAGAGCTTCATGTCCATTTGCTTCTTTTTTTACCAGTCACACCAGAAGGTACTGGTGGGAATGTGAGGCTCTTGACAGGGATTTTTGTTGGTTGGTCTTCTTTTTTTTATTTTGGTATCGGGTTGAACTTGGACCTTGCGGCTTGCTAGGCAGGCAGTGAAACCACCGAGCTAAATCCCCAGCCCTGTTGTTTGGTTTTTTTGTTTGTTTTTTGTTTGGTACTGGCAATCGAACTCAGGACCTTGCACTTGTGACAGAGGTGACAGAACCACTGAGCTAAATCCCCAACCCTTGATTTTAAAACTTTGAGACAGGGTCTCAATAAATTGCCTGGGTTAGGCTTGAACTTGGGATCCTTCTGCCTTAGCTTCCCAGAGTGCCAGGATTTTGGGAATGTACCATGATGCCCAACATGATAGTGTTTTCTCTTATTCCTAGGATGTTTTTGTGTGACTTTTGTCTTTTTGAGACAGGGTCTATGTATGTAGTTCAGACTGGCCTTGAACTCACTAGGTAGCTCAGGCTGGCTTTGAACTCAGCAATCCTACTGCCTCAGCCTCCCAAGTGCTAAGATTACAGGTGTGTGCCACCATACCTGGCTTATGTGATGATTTTTTTTTTTTTTTTTTTTCCCAAGCGCCACCCCAAAGCGCATT